AGCATCCATCTATTTCTATGTATTAATGCATACATGGTAATCACATAACAATTTAGAAGTTACTTCTTACCATAGTAACTCCATCACTGGCTTATCACAAGCCAATGTTAATTCAATAAAATAAGTACAAAATAAATTGCACTCACCTTAGCTTTGCTTTGATTCGATTCTAATTCCTCAATTGTCCTGAAACGGATCACTTTCTATCTCTACATAACAATACACAGATTCATATCAATATTCCAATTGATATATTCTAAACTGTCACTTCTTAGGCAAAGAGAAAAGCCCATTTCCTCTTTCAATGAAGGTATGCATCGATGCACTACTTGTGCATCGGTGCATAAAATGCATTCGATGTTTTTATTTTAAAAGGATGCATCGATGCATTATCTATGCATCGATGCATCAAAGGCATTCGATGTCCTTCTTTTAAAGGAATGCATCGATGCACTTATGAATGTGCATCGATGCACCTTGTCCAGAAATTGCATTTCAAGCCCGAAATTCATCAATTCTTCATTCAATTCTTCTATTTTAATCGCCTATTATGACTTTAAACTCAACTATCATTATTGAAACCAACTTATGTCCATATAAATCATATTTATCTTCCATATTTCATCAAGATTCTTAAAATTAAGAATCTTACTAAACTTTCAAATTTGTTATAAATCTTTTCTACTTCATAAATCTTTATTCTTCTTGATGACAAGTCAAATTCCATCTTAAAAATCTTATTAACTCTTTTCCAAAATTTCCTTTAAAAACCATTTTCTTTAATCTTTCATAACTTCTTTATCTTTCAACCTTAAGATAACCTAAGCTTTCCTTAAGCTTAGTTATTATCTAATGATCAAAACCCAACCATAAATTTAGCAAATAACCAACTAACAAAGAAACTCACCTTTGCAAGCTGGCTCTTCACGTTTGAGAGAAGATGAAGATGAAGAAGATAAGTCTAAAACTTATCTCTTTAATCATACCTCTCATATCCATTTATTAATATTTAATATTATCTTTGTTCAATGACCATTTTGCCATTCATCTACTTTAATAATTACTAACAACTTTTAGGAATTATTTCCAAATAAATCATTGAATTATTCCATTCTTCTACTTAATTCATCAAATTCTTAAACTTTACAATTTAGCCACTAACCTCTAGTTTGGGATGTTACAAACTCGATCATTATAGTATGCATAGGAGGTTTCAAAGTCCACAATTGTCCAAGGATTCAACGTCCGCACCAGCCTAAACCAACCTGGAAGTTCGTTGTAAGATGCATCACATTCGCCATGAAGTTTGACAATGGCATTTTGTTTTGCCAACCAAACTTTTTTATAGGAAACGGTGTACCCATACTACGATTGTATAGTTGAAATCAACACTGCAACATCTATATGAGAGCTTGCTTTTACCATGGGCATGATGGCTTGGCATATCACTTCAGAGTCCACGTTCGGATGATCTTGGCTGACCCCTCCAGCACAACATGTGTGAGGATCGTTGTATATTGTTAGTTCACATATGTTGTTTTTCCTCTTCATTTTCGATATACGAACCATCCAATTGCATCTATTTTTGCGTTGGGCACAGTAGCTTACATATTTTTCGTTCGTCGAACGGTTGACTCTGGACTGAACAAAATTACGGATATTGTAATTTTTGATAGCCATCATCGCTTCTTCTTTGCTTGAAAACTCCATGCCTAAAGATAACTCACCATCATTTATTGATGAGTAATATCCATAGTCAACGAGATGAGGCATATCCGCAAATTCTGGCCCGTACATTGCACCATAATCAGCTTCATACATGTGTGCAGGAGGGTAAGTTTGTGCCACATTTCTTGAAACTTCATCATCATCGGGGTTGAATTGCGGTGATTCTAGGTGAATGAACAATCCAGTCTCAGCACCATCTGCACCAGGCTCACGAAGCGGTTCTTCTGGTGGAGATGATGGTTCCTCCATGCTCTCCACATTTAGGTCGAAGAACCTACTACTTGCACGCCTTCCCCTTGAACTGGAAGGCATATCGACATTGAGATCGAAAAAACTCGCAGTCGAATGCCTCCCCCTGGAGTTTGAAGCCATTGTGTCAAATGGAAACTGCACAGATGGTTGCGTCGATGGCATCTCCATATTAAGGTCAAAGGGATTTGCAGATGAATGTCTTCCCCTTGAACTGGACGCGGTGTTGCCATACGGATTGTTTGTGGACCCACTTCGGTATATATCGTAAAGAGTTACGGATGAATGTCTCCCCATTATGACATTAAAATCATTACACATTATTGTAGTCGGGCTGTCAACTTGATCAACTTGTTCAGCTAGCCCATAGTGTGAGCTTAAAGATTGACCCCGAACAGCACGCACTTAAACAAAATGTGCATACATCTCAATAGCGGCGTCTGAATAATTACTTTGAGCTTCAACCATCATTTAAACATCATCATTGTTCGAAAGTTCGAACGCTGTATAAGTTAATGGAAACAATGATGTTGGAAATCTGTACTGCAACGACGACATTCTTCTGTTACTTCCAACATGAATCTTCCTCGAAATCTTCGTTATTAGCTCCTCAAGAGTTATGCTTCTCTTGAATGATATTTTAACACGCTCATTTGATATGAAAACAACGCCGGTTTCATCTTCTCGAATTTCACCATCATAATAAACAATAGCTGAAAGTCGCGTCATTCTTTGAGTTTAAAAGTGCGGCAATATTATATATGCAAAAAAAATAACTTAAACAAACCTGATTAAATAAATTATATATGAACGAAAATATAACACAATAAATTTTTTACACATCAACGTAAATAATTTAAATAATATAATTTTATATTATTACATGCACCGTAAAACTATTTCGACGTATGCTCCCGCTTTTTAATTTTACAAACATAAAAATTAATTGAAAATAATTAGAATATTTTTTTCAAATAATGATAATAAACAATAAGTATAATTAAAAAATTATAACAAAATTACCTTATAACGAAAAATCGCACGAGCTTCTAAATCAAATTTGAGAAGATTGCGAGAATTATTACTCGTTGACGGAATTGTTGTATTAATTTATAAGAGAGGAGAGATGCGAGGAGATGTGAGCCGGAGGAGTGTATTTATAAGCATATAAGGCGCGATACCTGCACCGCGCTATATGTAAAGATATAGCGCGGATCAGGGACTACGTTAAATATAATTTTGGTACGGTGTATATCGCGACCCCTAATCCGCGCTATACCCCTACGTGGCGTATAGCGCGAATCAGGGGGCGCGCTATACCCCACGTGTAACCCAGTTAGCGTATAGCGCAGTTCAGGTGGCGCGCTATACTCTACGTGACGCCAAATCAGCGTATAGCGCGGTGCAGGGGGCGCGCTTTCCTGCTAAGGATGTTAGATCGGGAAATATAATCTGACCGGTGTTAGATCGGTAATAATATCGATCACCGGTGATATACCGAGAAAAACACGTAAATTACAAATCCATCGTTTAATCTTTTTATTCATCATTAAACCCTTTAAATTTTTTATTTACTTTAATTCTTATAAAAAATGTAAATCTTAATTTATCTTTAATTCCTTGATAATAAAAAAAAATCTTCAGTTAAAAAGCGAAAAAAGAGAAAACAAAATATATATTTTGATTATACGTTAACCAAATTATAAATATTACACACCAAAGTGATTTAAGATTTTAAAATTTCAAATTTATAATCAAGTTTTATAAGTTTTAAAGTAATTTAAATTAAATCTAAAGTAATAAAGTTGTAAGAGATAATTTTAAATAAATTCATCGAAATAATTACAACGTCAATATGATACAAATGAAATTATAAAATTTTATCTTCGAAAGAAGAAGATAAAATTAAAAAAATGACATAAAATTTATGTCAATTAAAAATAATCCATAGCAACACAAGTGTCTATCAACATAAGTTTAATGAATAAAGTAAAAATACATATTCTGATAATTCTTTTAAGTAATATATGTTCAAAAAAATAACTTAATTAAAGCACATACATCTTATAAATATTAGGGGAATTCATTCGGTTAAAATGGTGGCTGATAGAACCGAATTATCATTAATTGAATTAATTGAACTTTTTTTCTTTAACTGTTAATCGAACTTGTTTTTTGAAAATATTAACTGCACCGAATAAATTTTGGTTAATTCGGTTAATTCAAAAATTAACCGATTATTTTTATAATTTTTTAATTTATATAAAAATTAAATATTTTTAATTAAAAAAATTTACAATTACTTTAAATAATATATAATTATAAAATAAAATTTTTATATGGATTCTTTTAATTAATTAATATTGATTTAGGTTTAAAAGTTATTGAATCTTAAATAATTAATTGGGTTTTAAATGGTTTGGGCTGAGCCCATATATTATATATAATATATTTAAAATTTAATTTCGGTTAATTAATCGATTTCGAACTGAATTAACCTTTAACCGAATTCTAAAAAATTTCTTAACCATTCCCCGACTGAATTAACCGAACTAATTCGGTTCGATCGATTAATTCAGTTAAAACCGAAAAATGAACACTCCTAATAAATATAATTTATTAAACTTAGTGTCTTTAAGAAAACAATACCATATTATTAGAGCTAAACAAAATATTAGCATTTATGTTACATATTATATTTTTATTTGAATTATAAAGATATTGTGTAGATTTTTTTAGAACTCGAATATTAATTGGATAACATTCTATTATTTAAGGATTAATATTCAACTAGAATGTGAATATGTTATAATGAACTTTTATTCGATTGAAATATGAATATGTTATTTATAAATTTATATTTGCTTAAATACAAAAATATTATTTATGAATTTATATTCAATTTAAATACGAATATATTATTACAAATATATACTCGATCGAAATATGATATTGAAGTTCACGAAGGATTGTTTTTCCTTTGAGAATTTCCTACAATATTGTATTAATCTTCTAGGTTAAACAAAATTTCGAAAGTTTTAACAAGTTTCATAAGATTTCACAATTTAGGATTCAAGAATTTAAAAATAAATTCTTTTTCTCTTTCACTAGTATAAACGAATGAGTATAGTTCATGATTTCTACAATTATGCTATTGTAGCTGATTGATAATCTAGTTATTGTATTATAGGATAGGAGACACACGACCAACAATTTCGAACATTAAAGGAGATACACACCAACAATCTCTAAATCTAGAGTGGTTGGATTTTGATTAGGAAAACAAGGGTTTTGCTGTTGCGAAAGTACAACCACGTCCGCTCATCTTTCTTACAGTATAGAGCCCCTTAGGTTTTCGTTTTCCAATTGGTGTCCACCATTTCACACGTTTCATCATCTCAGTTATTACTGTTTTTCCTGCCAAACATAATTTACAACAATTTTCCATGTAAATTGTATATTTGATTTTTTTTAATAGAGAAAATAACTTCAGTGACCGAAAATGCCTTATAATATATGATTTTAACCAACTTGTTTTGGATTTGCGAAAATAACCAACAAATTCGCAACGCGAACTCCAATTTCGCAACTCAGTTTCCAAATTCGCAACGCGAACAAGTAAATCACATTGCGATTTTCCAAATTCGTGTTACGATTTTCCAAATTCGTGTTGCGATTATCCAAATTCGCAACACTGAATTTCAAATTCGCAACTCGATTTCTGAATTCGCAACGCGAATTTTGTTTTCGCAACTCGATTTTTGAATTCGCAACACGAATTTTTAATTTCACAACAGGTTTTAGTTTCACAACACGAATTTTAATTTTGCAACAGGTTTTAGTTTCGCAACACAAATGTTTTGGGTATATAACTACGCAGCAGCAACAACTCATAACCTAAATCCCTAAATCGCAACTCATTCCATCTCCATCTATCACTCTTTCCGACGACATCCGTTCCTATATCCAACGACATCCTTCCCCATCTCTAATTTTTTTTACATAATTTTATTTCTATATAATTTTTCAATGATTTCTCTCCCAAATTATCAACTTAATAAAGGTATGTTTTTCTCTAAGTTAGTGATGATATGTAGTTTATAGCTCGTTTGTTTAGTAAATTAATTTATAATTTGTAGAATGAAATCATCTAATGTTGATCATGTTTGGATAGATTTGTGTTTTGGAGGGTCATGAGAGAATGTTCATGGTGTTTTGCAATATATGCCTTTACCCATGAATCTTTAACTAAAACTGTCATTAAAAAAGTTAACATATGAAACTCTAATGTTACGTGTTGCAAAGAAATTGAATTTAGAGCCTCTAAGTGGATTTAGGCTATCTTATCAGAGAAAAAGGTAAAGTTTATTTGTTAACCGATAATTAAGATGTTGAACGATTCATTGCTTACATTAGTGTTTCGCAAGAAGATGATGTTACATTGTATGTTGTTGAACCTAGAAGTAGTGAAGTTGGGTCAGTAGCGGGTAGTAATCAACTAAGTTCTTCAACCCCAGTTTATGATGCTCACAATGTACAATGTGATTATCAACCTCAAAATTTAATGGTTCCACCACAATTTCATCACCAAGAAAATTTTATTTCACCACATTTCCAATACCAAACACAATATCAAAACCCACAATCTTTTCCTAATCCAAATCCCAATCAACTTTCAGCACCAAATTCCGGTTTTCGTATTGACCAGTTAGACGATTATGAGCCAACAGAAAAAATTGTGAGTACTAATCAGTATTCGAAATTTGATCTTTGTCAATACCCGAACTTTGATCTTGGTCAATACTCGGATTTTGATGATGTTTCAGAAGAAGAAACAGACCATGCATGTAATGTTTTTGATATTGGTCAATACCCGAATTTTGATGATGAAACAACCATTACCGAGGAAGATTTTGTTGATAATAATGAGGAGGAAGTTACGAATGTGAATGAACATGTTGAACATCCATTCTGTAATTCATATAACCTTGAAGAAGAAAAATAAGAAGAAGAAGAAGTCCCCGAAGAAAAGAAAAAGAAGAAAATACCATGGGAGTATAACTGGAATATGCCAGAATTACTTCAGATACCGGAAGAAGAGTTGGTAAAGATAGTAGTTGATTGTTACACAAAAGTTATTCGTATCAAGAAAGATGATTGTTTTGATACAAAGGAAGACTTGAAGATAGCTTTGTATACGAAATGTGTGGAAGATGACTATCAACTAAAAGTTAACAAATCAAGCAAAGATCGTTTTGAAACAAAGTGTATGATTGACAAAAACTGTACGTGGCGTATGATTGCAAAGAGGATAAAAGATTGCGAAATGTTTCAAGTTAGGACTTTTATTGATAAACATACATGTTCAAGAACCCAAGTTTTTCCTCACCATAGACATGCAAACAAAAAGGCATTGGGTGGTTTTCTGGTTGAGTTAATGTTTTTGAATGGCATGGTATATCGGGGACATAAAATTATGACTGACATGAATACTCGGTTCAAGATTAGTATCTCATATTCTCAAGCTTGGAGAGCCAAATGTTATGCCTTGAAATTGTTGAGGGGGTCTCCAGAAGCATCATTTGCCCAACTACCGGCTTATTGTCACAATTTAAAGCTAAAAAATCCTGGGTCGGTAACTCATATCAAAACAGATAGAGATGGACGCTTTGAGTTGCTGTTTATCGCCATTGGTGCTGTGGTTAGTAAAACAATATAATTTTGTTGACTCATTTTTGTTATTTACATGCATTTCACATTTAAATGATTATGTCTTGTGTATATTATTTTGTAGATTTGTTCGTTTATTGCTTGCATGCGCCCAGTTATTATAGTTGACGAAACATATTTGAAAGGTCGATACCTTGGAGTAAACTTATTAGCAGTAGCCATGGATGCTAACAATGGGATACTGCCAATAGCTTACGGGGTTGGCAAATCTGAAACCTATGATTCATTAACATGGTTTTTGGGGCATCTTAGGGATTGTATAGGTCCTATTAGCAATCTGACAATTATATCTGATAGGGAAAACTCAATTGGCAACGCTGTTAGAAGGTGTTTCCCAGATGTTTTTCATGGACTTTGTGGTGTTCATTTGTATAGAAATCTAAAATCAAGGTCTGTTGGTATAAAAAATCACAAATGGACATACTGGAAGGCTGTAAAAGCTTATCGGGAAGTGGATTTTAATAAGCATATAAATTGTTTAAGACGTGTTTTGCCTCAATGTGCTCAAACACTAGAAGATGTCGGGTTTGTAAGATGGTCAAGAGTACATCAACTTGGAGCAAGATATGGTTTCATGACGTCTAATAATGCATAATCAATCAATGCTCCAAGTCGTAATTCCCAGAAATTACCCATTACTATGTTAATGGAGTTTTTTCGAGCCTCTATTCAACAGTGGTACTACAAGAAAAGAAACCATGCAGGTATTATTTCTTTAAATTCGTAACTTATCATATATTTTACTAAGTATTATTTATTTAAATTTACAGGAACATTGGAACGTCGTGTTACACCATGGACTGAAAAAAAGATAACGAAACGTTTTGTGAAGTCAACGTCATGGAGAGTTGAACCATGTTCAAGCACTTTGTTTGAAGTATTGGATAATAACTTAAATGGGATTGTCGATCTAAATGCAAAGACGTGTAGTTGTATGAAATGGAAAACATCTGGTTATTCGTGTGGCCATGTTATAAAAGTTGCTCTTCATCTAAACCAAGATGATTCAAGTGCATACGCTATATATTGCTACACTACAGAAGTATGTTGACAGACTTATGCCGAGATTGTCTACCCTATTCCACATCCTTCTGAGTGGGATATACCAGATGACTTACAAACAGTTTTGCCACCAGTCATGGACAGCAAGCTACCTGGCCGACCAAAAAATCACGATCGTATACCGTCTAAGGGTGAAGAGAAGAGGATATCGACATGTAGTCGATGCAAGGAAAGTGGTCATACAAGGTTGATATGTGGATCACCAATGCCATCACAATCATCTTTTTCTCTACCAAAATATGGATCCTCATCAAAATCCAAAGCTCATATGGTGTCAAGCAAAAGAAAATCAAAATCGCAATCAAAGTCAAAATCCCAATCACAACCGGCTTCACCTTTTGGGACTTATTAACTTAGGTGATTTTTAAATGCAAACATTGTATTATGTGTATTTTATGTGTGAATGCATACATTTCAGTTAGACATTCATTACTAACTTGAGTTTGAATATTGCTAGGATCTGTTCAGTTGTTATCACTTATCAGATTGTTGTCTGTTATCTTTTTAAGGTGTTTTCCTTGAATTCGCAACGCGAAAGTCAAATTCACGTTGCGATTTTTTGTTGCGAAAGTCAAATTCGCGTTGCGATTGTTGCAAAAGTCAAATTTGAAACGCGAATTTGCAACGCGAATTTGACTTTCGCAACCATCACAACGCGAAAATCGCGTTGCGAAAGTGTACCATCAACATGTCTTTTTTGCCTTCAACATAATGCAGATTGAAATTTAAAACAACAAATCAACTTTTACAAATCAATTAAACAAGCAAAAAATAAGAATTATTTACATATCAATTAAACAAATCAACTTTTACAAATCAATTAAACAAGCAAAAAATAATTTTTATTTCCTCATCAATTAAACAAATCAACACTTTTATAAATCAACTTTTACAAATCAATTAAACAAGCAAAAAAAGTGTACCACAGACAGTTGTTTATGCACAAATACATCAATTTCACGCAGCTCACTTCAAGATTAACCTGTAGAAACCAAACATTTGCTCAAACAACACTTTCTACACATCTAAAACTAACAAACAACAAATTATTGAATTCTAGGTACTTAACCAAATATTTTCAAACCAACAAAGAGTATATATGTTAACAACACTTGCTCAAACTTACCAATTGTTTATGCACACTTTCAGCACGCAGATGCAGGTAGACAACGTCTTGCATATATCGCTCTAGCCATAAAATGCCGAAACCACAAGCCTACTGCACCTCTATCTCTATCTGTAGGA